GTGTAATTCTGTAGCTACATTCCTCTCTTGCTTCAAGACTTAATCTACCTACAACGCTATTAGCCATGTGTCAGTCAGGAATATAAAGATGTTAATGATAAAATTTTATATGTGTCAAAATAAGAGCTCACTTTAAATATGCTTGTACAAAGATTAGCTTATCATTAATTATAAATGTAATAGCAACACACTTCTTCCCTTTAAGCATAAAGCCAATTTCAGTCCAAGAGAATGAAATGATGTGAATTTTCCCTTAGCCCAGATTTTAAACATGATATTATTTGGTGTTGCCAGCTAAGAAACACAATTTTAATCTCACACATTTCCATCCTCAGGTCCCAGTCCTGCCATCAGTTACACACAAGCCTTACATTTGAGCTCATGAAGATCCACTCCAGGGCTCTGCCTCCCAGTGTAACACCCCTCAGAAAAGGATCTATCTGCATTTCACATGGCCACCATAAAAACACATTATTTTGTGTTGTAGCCAACCCCTGAAGCCTCCACTAGAAGAACCAGAACTAGATATCATAAAATAAATTCTACAGTGTACTACTGCAGGAGCAGGGTTGGTACCAGAGTAAAAGGAAGGTGGATGTTCCCTAAAATACCTTGATATTTTCTTGGCTTCAGAGGATGGCTGTGTTTGCCATATTGCATTCATGAATTTAATTGAAGCTGAAGATAGGTACAATTCACAATATGGTGCTGGAACATAAATCCACAGGGAGCAGAGAGCAGCAATAAAGTTTTAAGCAGCTGAAGAGCATTATTTCTGTGCTCAGTGAAGAGCTTCATGCCCTTGAGAAAGAAGCCCTGAGCTGCAGCTCCTGTGCCTCACAAGCTCACTGTGCTCAGGGCACTGGCACAGCCACAGACAAATCCTGGGCTCTGCTCTTCAGCTCTGGGGATGCAACTTGAGACAGCCACACCTCAGCAGAGAACTGTAAGATACCTGTGCTGGGAATCTGCATTTTCCTTGTCAAATGAGATACTCATTACTGCCTCAACAGAAACAGTTTGTCAAAGGGTGAGTGCTGCCAGAACACAGCAGCTGAGCCTGTAAAAAACACATCAAGTCTGACCCCTGACATTTGTCAGGAAAGGTTCAAGGCACTATTCAAGTTACGGAAGAGCAAAGAATTAATAAAATGGACTCATGATGGGACTCTTTGTAACCATGGAGAGATAGAGGGAATGAAGGAGGGTCATGAGTGCCCTGGCCTTCACACTCTGGTGGGTGTGAGGTGGTAAAGCACCTTTTTATTGCTATTCCCCTGTTTCCTGGACTTGTACACCCATACTGAGACATTCTTGAAAAACCATGAGTGTTCTTCCATCAGCTTCTGCCACCAGTTTTTTAAAATACATTATTAATAAACTCCATGACAAGTTAAAAAATTAATTTAATGTCATTTAAAACTAAAACTGAACATACCATGACCTGAAATAATTTTGTTGGGCAGAATGGCAGGGGAGTTTTCAGAAATCTGCCATTGATTACAGATGCAAAACTGTTAGGTGCAAGGCTTATGTGAGTTGAGATTCATACCTCAGATGTAATATTCAGTGGGTGACTCAGATAATGATAACTCCTTTGTCCTGTGTTTCTCTAGATCAAGCAGTGCAGGTAATTATGAATAATGATAATGATTTGGATCTCAGAGAGAATTTGCACAGATAGGCATACACCTATGGGTGATGTGGCTTCCTGCACAATAATTAAGGATGTAGCCAAGGGAAGTGGAATAGAAAATGGATAAAATGATTCCTCTGCAAGATTTTTTAGCAGGTAGCTGGCAGTCTGATTTAGAGCTCACAGACCTGAGAAAACAGAGAGCATAAACAAGAGCAGGACATGGTGCAGAAATAAACACAAACGCTACCTCTGATTGTGCCAACACGTCACGGAGCAGAGCAGCGGCACACAGGAACAGCAGAGCTCTTCTGAAACCTTGGCTGTGTCAGGACCTCGCTGTGCCTGGCTCCTGGCAGAGCCAGCCCACACCTGGGCCAGGACCAGCCAACCCAGACCCACCCAGTTCCCTCTGCCCAGCTCACTGTGTGCTCAGATGGGTCTTGGCAAATGTGCTGGACATCTTCAGCCACGCTGCTCTAAATTGCCATCAGTGTGGCTGCTTGCTTTAACCAAGAGTGGAAGTTGGTCCACTGAACTGCAGGAGGTAGAGGCACAGTCCCACAGGAACCTAGTCAAATTCCTCTTGTAAAGATGGGGTCTCACAATCTAACAAGGTTACTTTAAAAAGCTTGTTTCTGTGAAAATGCCACTTACATTTTGCTTCTAGTATCAACATGGCAAGTAAGACTTTCTCACACCCTGCAGCAGCTTCCAGAGGAAAAGTTCAGAGGCTTATAATTTCATCAGTTGCCACCAGTTTAAAGGAGAATTTTGTAATTTCATGTTCTTGAGGCATTTCAGTGGGCTGTCTATGTGGGAGCAGCAGCTGACGTCAGGGAAGACTGTCATCCAGCAACAGGTATGTGGGGGAAAACAGCCCACTCTTACACCTCCAAACAAGGAAAATGCCTCTGAGAGCTTCAAGATCTTTTAAGGCAGTATCCCCCATATTTGGAAAAAGCCAACATAGCTGGAATTTTTCTCTATTAACTTGACCCTGAAAGTATCCATGTATTAATTATTATCCCAGTACAGGTGATAGGTAATACACACAGAGTGAGGCACATACGGAGGGTGATTTGGCTTTTGGTGACCTAAATAGCTTTAATGTCAATGTCAAGCTCTTCAAATTCACCAGTTCATTCTCTTTTAAGGTTTTCTGGGCATGATTCAACTTCAGATTAAGGCCTCTCCATTTGGATGTCTGCATGCAGGTGTCTATCTATGTCCATTATATCCAGAAAAATGTCATTAGATTGAGAATTCAAGGGTTGGATTCACTCTTGTGACCAACTAGACTAAACCTATTTCTAAGGCCCAGTTCTTGATGTGCCTTAAGGCTCACCAGCAATCCTTGCAGATTTTTAACTACAAAGCTGCTCAAGGTGTCCTGCAGCATTTGCTCAGGGGATGCCTTAATCTGCAGTGCCCCTTACCAGGGGTGAGCAGCCCTGTCTCAGCATTACTGAATCTGAGCACACCACAGGGAGCACTGCAGTGACAGCAGCATCATGAGCCTCACAAAGCTGCTGTGGTCTCACAGCCTGCCTTACTCTAGTCATGGGAAATGTCCCCAAAGACAATGTTCTGTTCCCAGTCACTTTCTGCTATGTCCCAGAATGGCTGCTGAAGAAGCACTGGTGCATATTCTGCCCTGACAGTACCTGCTGCTTGCATGGTTTTAATGGAACTTCTTCAGCCTACACTACAATTCATATGAATGCACTCCAGTCTTAAAGGACTGACCATTAAAACATCTCTGTGCAACAGGGAAGAACCACTGTCTCAGCAACACACACTGCAGCATGAAAAGATGGAGCTTTCTGCTGGTTTCTTTTATCTAAGAAAAAAGTTGTCTCAATTACAGTAAAAATACTGCACATTGGCCAAAGAGGTTTTTGTCTGAAGGGAGAATTTGTCTCTTTCCAGTACCTTGTATACGTAATCCCCCGGATTTGTGCAGTGCCAGAGTCCAGTTTAGCCCAGCCTCCCCTTCCCCACAAGCTCCAAGGAGGTACCACAGGAGAGCAGGCATGGTGGGACCACTGAACTGACTGCCACAAGCAGACCCAACAGGCATTTATTCCTCTTGGTTTCAGAGTAGGAAGAATGGAGTTCTCCAGCTATTTAAGTACTCCTGTGAAAATTAATCACTGGTGGTCTAAGATTAAAACCTGTCACCTCCTTTACCCTAAAGGAGAAGGATGACTTCTTGCTAAGGACGTGAGGTGGCCAGGACAGGCATTTTAGTCTCCAACAGAAAGGAGAGGGGACAATAGCACATTTTCTTTATTTTCAGTGGTACAGAATCAGACTGCAAGGCAAACTGCCTAACGCTTTCTGCAGGAATGTAATAGCTGACCTTTTCTACTAGTTCCCATGGGTACTTTGAAAGACTCTTTCTAGAAATAAGTCACACATGTCTACTGAATAAAATCAAGGAAAATATAGCTAGACTCTTTCACTTTGCTCGGAAGCAAGTTTCTTCAGCGTCTCAGAAAAGGCTCTGAATGTTTTTTTGTAAAATGAATCTAATTAGCTACAGATTGAATCCCAGATCAATGATGCAGATACAGAATATGACAAGGAAACTTAAAACACCTTCAAGAAACAAGTGCAATCCTTTGACTGAGGTCAAAACAACATTTTTGGTATCTTAATTCTGCCTGTGAGACTGACCATCATCAAACAAGGCGGTGGCTGCAAAGGCCACAGTAACACCAAGCTGCTCTCTGTCAACACAGCTTCATGGCAGCTGCATCCTGCACTTAATAATTCCCCAGGGAAATGCCTCATGAAGAGAGAATAGCACTGTACTCTGCTTCCAGCATCACTCTCAGTATAGCTGAGAGGAGAATTTGACCTTTGGTAACTTTATTAATACCAAATTAACAGATGGCTTTGGACTTTGAGATTGTTTGTTTATCCCTGTGTCTCACTGTCCTTTCTGAGAGCCCCAGGTTCCACCTCTACACATGGTGAAAGTGGGGGCAAGGACCCCAGTCTCGAGAGAGCACAGGAACTGAATATCCCTTCTCTGCAACCTGCCCTGCTGGAGCAGCTGGTTTCACCCTGGATGCAATGTCTCAGTGTTTTCAAGACTTGTTACTCATGTTTTTGACATTTTGCAAAGGTTATTCTGAAATTTCTATTAAAACAAAGTGGGAGAGGTGTCTAAGGAAAAATACAGCATTGGCACTCGGAGCCCCATTACAAAGCACATTAAATTAAATGAAGCAGCACCGATAGAACAAATTTCTACCAAACCTCCATGATTTATCACAAGCACAACCTTCTCTTCTTTATGTAATTAATCTAGTACTCCAAGTAGCACAAACACAGGAGATTAAGACCATCTTACCTGGAATAGGTATAATGGGAATACTTTCATTGGGGACCACACGGGGGGAACTGCTGTCCTCCACATAGAAATGAGCAGTCTGGAAACACTTTCTGTTAAAGAAAAAAGAAAAAAATAGATTCAGGGTGTGAAAAACTTCTCACTGAAAAACTTTTGCACATGTTCTGTTTCGCTATTTCTGTTCTGTACTTTCAGATGTTATAATTTTAAAACACTGATACACGAAAACATATGTTTGTTTTCTACAATTACAATTCTTATTCCAGATTCTGATGTGCTCTGACTTACTGACATCTGACATCCACCCATCACAAATGCCTCTATACATTATTGCTAAGTACCATTGAATATGAAATTATAATCATAAAAGTTAGTGGCTGCAAAACAGGCTTCAAATACACCATTAAGAAAGGAGCTCTGCACACAAGAAACACATTCAGCATACAATTCAAGCCCAAATCCACCTAGGACACTCAATTTCCAGGGAAAATACACTTGCTGTATAAGTTTCTGCTGTGTAACAACCACCAGTAACACAGCATCTGTAACTGCTTCATATCATGAGCTGCTATGAAAGCTATCCTTCAAACATTAAGGTTTTTTGCTTGTTTGCTTTTTAACGCTAATGCCATATAACCTTCATCCCATCCTCCTCCTGCAAACTTGTATTACATATGCTGGTACACAAAAATCCAACAGACACTTCCCTTGGGCCCCAGGACTCCTCTCTAAAAAGGCCTACAATGAAGAGCAGAACTTAAATCCACCTGACTCTTTTTTACCTGTATTTAATGCAAAGCAGAGAGCACAAGCTGGTCATCACAGAAAAGGTACTGAGTAGAATACCATCAAGAGATCCGGGGAGACTCTGCATGGTGATGTTAACTGAGGCAGGGTTTTCCAACGCCAGCGTCACTGCTCATTGCTGACTTAATGAGCTGCTTGAGGCTGGAACTGAATATTTAATGAGTCTTGCTTGGTGTGAGCAGCTATTGTGGCAGGAGAAGGGTCTGCTCTCGTCTGCGGGGCGCTGAACAATAGCTCCCCAGTGCAGAAAGATCCCCCTCACTGTCACCCTTCAACTGCTCCTCAACACCTGGGCAAAGTTTGTGGGGGCCTGGTGAACTGTGCCTTTGCCAAGTTGCAGGTTCCCTTGCTCAAACATATTTGCACATGTGGTTTCCAGGCTGCTGCCTTGCAGTTCCTGCAGTTTGCTGCTCTGCAACTCGGCCTTTGTGCTCCCCATGCAGAGCCCATCGTCAGAGCAAAGCCATTTGTGGTGCCTTTGTTTCCAACATCCGTACATGCCAGGGAGAAAAAAAGTCACTGGAAAGCAAACCACTCTCTTAGGTGAAACCAGGATCTAAAATTATCACAGGTGCTTGCTTTCCATGCACCTGTACTTTCTAGTGCACAGGCGCAGTGCTTTGTAATGCGAGCACAAGCTATGGCAGCACAAGTACAACTTAAGACAATACAGAAGGAGAAGAGAGTGGATTTCACAGCATGGAGTCACTGTCTGGGAGCAGCTTTCTATTTTCAGGCATGATGGCTTGCATTCTGCTGAAGTTATATATTGAGTGAGTATACTTTTGTTAAGAAACAGCATAAGGTGAATTCACACATGAGGATGTAAGATGTACAATAGTCTCACAGCATTTAAAAACATGGGTTGAACTCCCCCCGCCTCACCACTTGCTCCCTGTTCTCATTTTTTTTTTGGCAGCCTTTATTTTGGACAATGAACACCCTGGGGGCACGCAGTGGAATAAATCAGTCACACATAAAGAAGAAACTATGAATATGAAACAGGCAAAATGTTCCTGATTTTGATGTATTTGGGGCTCTTTCCCTTGAGTCAATACTACAGAAATCCTTGAATGGCTTCTCCTAGTAATGAAGGCCTTAAAAAGGTGTTTGATAAAAAGACAGACCTTTATGCAGGGATTTACAGGATTTTTTAAGCTGATGATATTGAAGAAAAGCAATTTTTTTGGTTAATTTGTTATTTTATACTCTCAGAGGCTCTGAAAGGCTGGCATTAAGGTTTTTATACACAGTCATAAGACGGCTTTTCCTTAATAGCCTCAAAACATGTAAATGTGTCAGATAATCACACTGTGCAATATTTTAAGGCCCATGATGGCAATAGCTGAATACCCAGCCCAGTGCAACTCTGCTGAGCACAATCTTGGATTAGCAATGTAGTGAATTAATATTTCACATAGTAAAGTTTGCTGCAATCACTAATGTAATTAAAATTCTGTATTTTAGTCCTGGAAGACTTTCTGCAGCTGCTTTGCAAAGACAGACACCTTAGACTTTGACTAAAGGTTTTCTCAAGTCACAAACATCACACTCTTGTCTAATGTGCATATGCAACACAGCACTTTCATTACTTTACAATATTGGATTGTGGCACATTAGGCGAAGATACGTCTCTCAAACTTTTTTTTTCCTCCACTTGTTCACAATAGCTGTAAATAGTCTAAGTTTAGCCTATACAGCTGAGCTTACTGCACACAGGCCATGGCATCCCTGTCCCAGTGGCCTCTTCTGTGTTTCAGATCTTTAAAAGATCTTTTATGGGTTTAACAAATTTGCCGAATGGATTTTCCAGCAAGTTCTGCTTACTGGGATTATTTCCCATTCTGGCATCTTTCCTCTGCGCAGCTCCGGGAGGGAACACATCTCAGGGTACCAGGCAGATGACTCCAGGTTGGATAATGCCCATTCTTCCTGAGTAACAAAACACCTGGCCCCAAGTGGAGCCTTTTGGAAACTCGTGTCTGGTTTATAGTAATAAATACTGATAGCTGCCATCAAGGCTACTGAGACACACTTCCGACATTCAGTATCTGTCTCCTCCTCCAGTTTAGGATGCTCCTTTCTATCCCTTGGCTATTCCCCTCCCCATTACCTTTTCCTCCAGATACAAACCTTAAGTGGCAGCAGTTGCTAAGGCTACAATAGGCTGCAGTAAATCTGAGTGTGTATATGGGGAGGGCTGGACAAAGGGAAAGGATGAGAGCAGGAAATTGCTTGTTTTGAGCCACTGGAGAGGGGAGAGAGGGGAGTGAATACAGGGCTAGACAAAGTGCAAATCCACACTTTCACATGAGAACTTCAGTCTAACTTTTTACTCCAGTGTGTATACATGGGCAGGTGTTTGCATATCTGTGCCCATTTGCTCAGGAAAACAACACTATCAGCAGAAAATAATAACAGGCCTTTTTTCCTAATAGAAGCAGTCCACAGTGAATGCACAACTGGAATTTGTCATGGCATAAATGATTATTAAAATCTTAACAACTGAAACATTAATTTTAGAATAATTATTGTATTTCTACAGCACTGGTCGAGAAAAACAAATCACAACCTTGATTCACTTCTAAAAGATTTTGGGGATATCTTTTCTGTGAAATACCAAAGAGTCCATTGTCTCTGAAATATGCCCGTGAGCAGTGAAGCACACCGTTTTCTCTAGCCCCATATGTTTTTGTGGCTCTCTTTCCCTGGGGTACAATAACTGTGTGAGATTGTGGTGATCAGACACACAGTTGTCACATATGGACCCAAATGCAGAAGTAAAACACTGCAAGATTAGCATCTCCCCAGAGAAGCAGCAGAGGCAGGGTCTGGAATGCAAAGACAATGTGAGGGAGAACATCCCCCTGCCCAGAATCTTTTTGCAGAGACACTGGTTGTGAGTTACTAAAGCAAACTAACAGGATGCAAAGTCCAGAGAAGCAGCACCTTATTACTAAGATAAAAGCATAAAAATATGCCAAAAGATGGTCCTGGTTAGCTGGGTTAAATGCTTGTTCCATCTCTGTTAAGCAAAACACCAGATTAACTTCTCTATAAGAAGAGATGCCTGGTGAGATTTTGACACTCCAAACAGGTTTCCTGGGTTATTAGCTACTAAAGCTCAAGCAGCTTCTCCTTTCTACTCATCTAAAAGCAAGAGGGAGAACAAGTTCACATAATGGCCTGAAAGTATGGATGCATTTCATTTTTGTGTAAAAGGTGGTGCCTCAGAGTTAATATTGCCTCCAATGCAAACACAGCTTGGCTGCAGACAATGGGAGTGCTGGGAATTGCTCCAAGGGCACTGTCTGGCCTTTACTCCTCTGTACTGGGTCTAGCACAGGCAGCATCCCCTGATCTGTGATGACAGGCAGTATCTGTGAGCTCTGGAGCAGGCAGGGCAGGGAGAGGAGGAGCCAAGGTTATGGTGAGAACAAGTGACTGCCTCTGCAGTGGCTGAAGACAGGAAAAACCAAAGGGGAACATTTCACATTCTGGGGACACCCAAGAGCCATGCCCTGCCTCACGCCAAAGCTACCAGTACCTTCATTGCTCCTTGTTCACTTGTCCTTCTTCCAGGTGTGGATGTTGGCTGGAGCAGTGTGTATTCCCTCTCCAAGGCCAGCCAGCTTTATATTACTTTATTTTTGTACTAGAATCTAGGAGCTCTAGGCTCTCTTCCCAGGTCATTACCTGCTAAAGCATGACTAATTTGTGGGCAGATGCTTGAAAGGATCTTGCAGGCCTGTTCACTACTATCAGAGCAGGGCAAATCTTGTCCTTCAGGCACCCTTCATCCAGAATCAGCCTCCCACAGACAGAACTTCTGCAGAATATGTATTTGTTAACAAAGAGGCCAGTAGCCCCTGCAGCCACCCTACTTTTACACAGAGTTTCTAACTGGTGGGAAGAACATGAAAGATGGAATAAGAGTCAGACTAGGATCTGTAAGAGACCTCTAAACCAGGCTGCACAGGGCATGGCTTAGTCTTTACCAAATGCAACCTGGATACAGGCATTCATCCCCCATGCTCCTCCATCACGGGGGAGTCTGCAACTAACTCCTAAACAAGGATGTAAAGACAGGAAACGATCCCCTTTCACTACCTCTGTACATTCATTCTCACTTTCAATAGAAGAAAAGCTGCTTCACATTCCCATTGAAATGTTTTGCATGTTTTTCAGGAGACACAATTAAGATCGGTTTCTGCTGGCACCAAAACCAGAGTATGTATGCAGTCAAGTGTACTAGTAACACATGGCTCTGCACTTTAAACTAGCT